GCATAATTTTGAGTGCATTATTTCATTATAATTTTGTAAATGAGTTTTAGTTAAATATTTATATAATTACAAATCCATTGCCCAAAGCTTATTCAATTTTCAACGTGAACAAAAAAGTGCAAATCATGTTTGATAACAGGTCATGAATTCATCGGAGGTAAAGGTCTTGTTTATTATAGTGTCACAATTACTGAAAGGGCCAGCCATTTCTGACTTATGAGACAAATTAGGCTTGCATACCAAGTTCCTCCAAACCCTTACCAGTATTCCAGGCACCAGGCAGATATAATAATAAAATATTAATTTTATAGAAAGGTATTCATGTGAATATTCAATATTTTAAATTACTCCTTTTTATTATTATTTTCATCATAATTACAAGTTACCTTCATTTTTTTCCAAAACAAGTAAGGGATGTTACCAAAAATTAGGCGACCTTTTATCATATTCGGACATTTTGCCTATTTCTTAAAGATTGCAATAGCACGGACATTGTATTTATTTCATGCTCAGTAAAAGAAGGTAGAAATTTGATTTAATTCTTTCATTAAAACCATACATTTGATCGAACTTATTTAGTTCAATTTACTAATATTTTCTGTTAAATTCATGCTTAATTATTATAATGTTCGGATTTTGTATTAAGGAGATACATTCTAAAGCATAGTATCATTCATACTACTTGCTCAAAATAAATGTCAGGATAATTCCATTTTATGACGGTTGTTGGTTTCCACTGACAGCAAAAGGTGTTTAATGTTGCTTTCATAGATATAACATATAATCTATGTTTTGAAGTCATATTGCTTCAAATGCATACTGAAGTTTAAGATATATTTTTATTCATATAAAAATATATTATTTTATTAAAACACAAATCACAACATCGTAAATATCTATTTATTTACACAGATGAAGAATCAAACTTGTTCTATATTTACGAATCGGACACACATATACAAATTCAATCAAAATCTATAATAGACAAAACAAACATGACTTATAGATTCATATGTAACAATTGATTGAAAAATAAGGAAAAGTTTAGAAACATTTCATACAAGAAAAATGAAAAACAAATAAAATTGTGGAACCAACACACAAATTAGTTCTGACGTTTAAAAGTACTTCGATTAAGAATCATAAGAAGTATATCTAAAAAATTATAATTCATTTTTCACCTACTATTTTTACCATGGAATTGTTCGCTTCCAATTTTAAGCTGCCAATTAAAATTAAGACATTCCATTACCAGAGTCTAATTAGTTTTAATTATAGCAGATTTAGAGATAATTCTGTATAATGCATCAAGTAAACACTAGTCTGCTTATAAACACAAATCATGACCTTACATAGTACAGTCAATACAGAAATAAAATGTGAACATCAGTGTATCAAGCATTGTTTCAGTGAAAAATACAGCAAAAACTCCCTCAACCGAAAATGCTACGGATAATCATTTCCGGTTAAAAATAGGATTCCGGATTGCGGATATAAATTTTCAGTTAACAGATAATACGGAAGTTTTTGAACATCCTTTGCTTTTCTTATTATTATCTAACACATTATTTTGTTATCTAAAAAGTGTGCTGTTAGCAGTAAAATAACAGATAATTATTTTATTATCTAGATAAATGTTGTGTAAGTTAGTTAACTGCTTAAGTATCAGATAATTATGTGCATAACTTGTTAATTTCCCCGTTAATTAGTAAATAAGAAAGATATAAGTAAATTATTAATATAACTAGTAAGATGAACAGTAAACAGATAATAAGTAAGAAACGCAAGGGATATGTCAAGAACATTCCGCAGTATCCATTACCTGAAAGTTTATATCCGCAATCCGGATTCCCTTAAAAGATAATTGACCATTTATTATATCAATTAAGTATAACACGAGTGTGTCAAGTCAAAATACTAAAGATTATAATGTTTGCTAAATAACTGTTTAATAATGACTGTTTAAATATGAACATTTTATCGTTGATGACGATTCTTGATCCCATTGTAACGTGCAAAAATAGTCAAAGTTCGTATTATTGTTATACAGTTATTCAATTGTATGAATATTGATTTCAATACGGTATTTTTTTGTATTAATTCATCACTGAATGATATCATTAAATCAAGAAGTGACGAAACGTCCGATAGTATGATCGAACATAGTTGTTTGCCAAACAAATATGGATAACTTACAAATATTGTACAATGAGATTAAATACGTGTATTAGTATCATCGATACAATTCCTACATAAAAAGACAAAAACAAGTGGAATAAAGGACAGTTAACATGGATTAAACATATTTATATAACATCATTAAATATTTTTGAATTCATGCCTTTATGCAAAGTATTAAATCTGTTTTTTTATTATGTTTCTTTGCACAATCTGCAAATTTCCATGTAAGTTTTCGAATACCAAATTTAAACATAGTAAATTTTCAAAATGACAAAAAAAAAATAAATTTGTTGTCAGCTTATGATTTTCATGGTGTAGTGCTAGGTTATTTTTTTCAGGCTAAATTTATTTGGTTAAATCATTAGTATGTCCCCTATCGGCAGCCAATTAGTCATGTGATCAGGTAATTATGACTGACTTTTGACCTAGTGACCAAACAATCAACAAGGGTTAATTACTGGTCATGACTAGTAACTAGGTAATTGTGACCGCAAAGGTTATGTGCAGCAATTTTATGACTAAGTTATTTCAAATCTTACCAAAAAATATATGCATAACTTTTATGAATCATGTAGGCCTCATTAATGACAGCCAAGTTGTTATATTACATAAGACATTGAAATGCGTATACCAAAATGATTTTTAGTTTAATAAAAATATCAACCAAGGCAACTTGAGCTGTTGAGTTGTTATAGTTATTGGTCAGAAACAGTCTTCACATACAAGGTCAATTTGACACTGACCTTTGACCCTTAAATCAATAGGGGTTATCTACTGGCCAAGACCAATGCACCCGTGAAGTATGAAGGTAAAGGGCCCATGAGTTGGGATATTGATCAATAGGCGTTGTTACCTATAAGGTAAATGTGATCTAGACCTTTGACCCCTTAACGCCAAAAAATCCATTGATGTCTTATTCTGACCCAAAGCAATGCCAAAGGTCCATGGGCTGTCCAGTTATTGATAGAAAACCATTTCGAAATTCAAGATCAATGCAACCTTGACCTTTGTTTCCCTAAACCCAGCTTGTCAAGTTATTGATCAGAAACCGTTTTTACCTGCGACATCAATGAAACCTTGATCTTTGACCCTTGACCCCAAAATAAATAGTGGTCATGTCCAATGCACCTACCAAGTTTGAGGGTCAACAGCCCACGGGTTGGCAAGTTATTGATCGGAAACCGTATTAACCTACAAGGTCAATGTGACCTTGACCTTTGACGCCTTGACTCCAAAATAAATTGGGGTCATCTGCTGGTCATGAACAATCATTTTACCAAGTTTAAAGTTTCTAGGCTTAAGCATTCTTTAGTTATCACTCGGAAACAATTTGGTCTACGGACCGACGGACCGACCGACAGACAAATGCAAAGCAATATAACCCCACTTCTATGAAGGGAAGGGGGGCATAAAAAACGTTAAAAAACACAATAAAATGATTATTTATTCATTTCCTTGCACCTGATTAAAGTATTTCAACGAGACATTAATGTTCCTTAGGGATTCGCAACTCGTGAAATATAGTGTTTAATTGTTTTTCCATTAAAAAACTTTAAAACAATGAAATGGTGTTCATCATAATAATTTATCAAAACTTATGTTGCGTTGGGTAAATATTTTCTTGTCACGAACACTTCTTTCGAACAAGATAAAAGAATCGAGTAAAAGGTCAATAAATCTGAATACATTTGCATACATTGCTCTCAAGAAAGTATGCCAATGTAATAACAAATGATGCTGGGTGAAAAAATTATAAATGATGACTCGACATCTTTAATAAAATCTATATAATTATCTCAATTAGACAGATACGGAGCAAGTTACTTTTTGAATGTGAAATAAATGACAAAGTTATACAAAGCAAATTGAAAAGTTATTCGTTGTTAAGAGATATAATTTCCTCCTGGAACCAAATAAAAGTCCTACCAAAATGTAACAACCCAAATAAACAAAAAATTTGGAATAATATGAAAATAACATCAAATGAAAAATCATTCTTTTATAAGTCTTACAATTTATCAAATTCCTGATGCAAATTACCTCAAATATCAGACTTTAATAAGAAATATACAACCTGACGTCATTACAGGTATCAATCTAGAAACGTCAATATCAATACCCCAAATGCAAATATTTTAGCGTCATTTATTAAAAGCAAATGAAACCAATAAAATCTCTATATGATCATCAGTTAAAACAAGATAACATTATCATAAATACTGCAGGAAAAAAGTGGGAAAATATCTTTGAAAACGAAAATATATGTTGGGAAAAACATAGAAAACATTCTATCAACAACGATTGGCACTAAGTTAAGAAATTTTCAATATAAGTATCTACACAGAATAATTGCTTCAAACAAAAGTCTTCTAAAACAATACCTTTCTTCCTCGAGTCTTTGTGATTTTTGTGCAATGGATATTAAATCTATTGAACACCTCTTTTGGCAATGTTCTTACACGCAACTTTTTTGGAGGGATTTAATAGAATATTTTTAAAAAAAAAGAATGTTAGTAAAAAACAATATATCACTTAATTGCAAGCACAGGTACACAAAAAGATGCAAAAAACTTTATTCTTTTGGTGGCAAAATATTACATATATAGTAAAACTGTTGCAAAATTGGAAAACTCACACCACAATTTAACTTATTTTTACATTATGACTATGTATTGAAAAATGTATTGCATTTAATTGCGATAAACTTGAAATTCATTTTCAAAAATGGAATAGAATCTTACTTACATGAAATATATAACAATTATGTTTAAAAGCAGTCAAAAACTGTAAATGTATCTTCTGTTTTTTTCTTGTTCTTTTGTATTAAATTTCACCCTCTTTAATTTTCCTTTTTGTTTTTGTTTAAATATTAGTTTACACTAATACGAGTATCGTAATGCTGATGGTACCCGAAATGTATGTGTGCTGTTTTGTGTGTGCGTTATGTTCAAAATATATATAGTTATAAATCCTGTTGGTATTTATGAATTGGAAGTGTGAGTGTATGGGTGCGGGTGTGTGTGCGTACGGGTGCGTGCGTGTGTTTGTGTGTAAAAATCAACAACTCTTTGTGACCATGCTTTTGTATTATCTGGACAGAAGTTTATTATATGTTATGTACACTTTATTACTGTATGATCACAGAGAAGAAATTAAACATATAAAAAAAACAAATGATGCTTCATTACAAAACGCTCTTGCTATGTGTATAATCAAAGAGTAAACATATGATTACTCATTGGACACACATAAGAATAAGCAACTCACAAAAGAATTATCATGAGCAAGATTGTTTGGAAAACAAACGCATAAACATTGAGAGTACAAAATACAATTATTTTGAAAATGAAACATTTATAAATAGTAATTGCTGTTATGGTTTCAAACAAACACATTTCTATATATACAAAGCAAGATTTTCTAACTGACAACATTGACATATCACATTGAGACTAAATATTCATTTTATGTTAGCAAATATTGCGTTTTAATATTTATTCCATTCTATTGAAACGAATTCCTTTGGTATTTTATTTGATTAAGCAGTATGTCACAACAAAGAAAGAAACAGTGCCCGTAACCTGACTTTAATTGCTAAATCAACTTAAGTTGTAAGCATATAACAAATTAGTGAATTTGGCTCTTATTTAATGAATTGGTATACAGTAAAAAAAAAATAAAAACAAACACAGAACAAAACAAAACTGAACATTGGATGTTGCAAATGTTCAATTTCTCACAGTCTGTTCTTTCCATATATTGATTTTCACTTCCTGACCGCCGAAAATGGACCGTAACAAAAAAACAAGTGTAAAAGAAAGTATCGCATAGTTTTATCAATTGTGTTGTATGTGCAAATATGCTACGTGGCGGTCTTGTTGAAAAACAACGTCGATTTGGAAAGATGAATTGTATTTATTCTTCTTGAATCACACGGTACAGCAGATTCCTAAAGTATAAATAAATGACAATAGTTAATTTCAATTTGTTTGGGCAATTTCAGGTCATAAAGATAAAAAAAAAATATAGATTTAATGAAAGTACAAAATTTCGGATAAATGATAAAAAAAAACTGCTTTAAGCGATAGCTTAAATATATATATCTTTTACACTTTTTTCGGTAAGAAAATAACACATTCCTAAGCGGACATGTCACTCAATTGGATAGATAAATGAAATGTACATATTCTACTTTACATAAACGAAATGTTTACATACATTCAAAGATGTGTGATTATTTATCTTGTGTGGATCCTATTTCCTCAACAACGTTCAACACTTCATCCCAGTCAACGGTAAGTGTTTGTATTGATTTCATAGCTTTGAGAAGAGCATTGACGGTGGCATTTGCATTCTGTTGAATTTTCCATTCCAACAGCACTTTGTAGATTTTCATAATGCTTGTTTGGTTGTCCATTGATATACGATCGATGTTGGCATTGCTCAAACCAAGCTCATATCCAAGGAGTTCCCAGTTTAATCCAATTGATTTTGAAATTCTGCTCAATTGTTTCTCATTAACCTGACTGTCTTCATGAAGTTGTATCCTAGAGATTTCTTCATACCATTCAGAAAGCGCCTGTTTTGTGAGTATTTCATGATTTGGCATATCAAGGCAGGGTACAATGCTTTCACCTTTAAGGGTTTCCAAATGGAAGTTTTCTTGACCTCCATTTAGACCATGGTTTTCATCGTTGCATCTAAAACATGTCTGGAAAGGCTTTTCTTGAATTGTGGATAAATGGCGCAGTTTATTAAAGTCGCTTATGACCACTGACTCTGCAAAGCGTCTGAAAGTGTCTGCTGTCCTTCTGTTTACATTTCGAGATTTGCAAAGACTAATAACACGCATTTCAATTCTGTTCTGCTGTAATTCAATAACACCAGCGTTCAGATTGTCCAACCTAAACACTCCTAAATTCTCGTACAGTAAGAATTCCTTTTCTTGCTTTGAAATGCCTATTTGAACAACTGACCATTTTGCTACCACAGCTGCAATTAGACGACAATATACAATTTGTACAACGGGTGTGTACTGAAACAACATCAGAAATCTCAAAGATGTCTGTCTCTTTCCTTTAAGGAACTCTATAACTGTGTTGTTATTACTGTGGTCACGTAGAAAAATAGGGACAATAAACCAGCCGAGTCCATTTGTTGTGCCTGTGTTTTTATCGAAACTTGAAACTTCAGATATGATATAATGCCTTTGCATAAACATCAGAATTTCTTTCTTATGTTTGAGAAAATCACTGTTTGACTCCCAAACCCTGTGAATAAGCTCCATTTTCAACTTTCCTTGTTTTCGTAAAAGATCCCAAAGGTCGCGATATTGTGGCTCCTTTTTGCAAAATCTCTCTGACGTAACAATGCACTTGAACGCATCAATGAGATATTGGGTATCAAGTACTACATATGCTGATATTGGTTCTTCGTCAAAGAAAAATAGTGTTCCTTTTGTGTGGTGATAAATAAGGAACAGTTTTATTTGCTCTACACAATTTAGTGGGAAATCATTTTTTGAATCAATTTCCACCACTTTGCTGAATGGAATTATCTTCATGTATTTTATCTGTATTAATTTTTTTTCAAGAGGTATCCATTTTGCCGGAAGTTTGATTTCAGAATGTTTCAAACCAATACCTACGATTTCCTTTCGCAACTTAACGATTTCCTTGTCGTTGAAGTCAACGCTATTGACTATAAAATCTTTTGCCTGAATATGATTGATAATTTGTGAGTCCTCAAAAAGAGCTCTTATTCTTTCAAAATATGCATGTGCATGGTCTGATTTTTGTAATTCGTTCCCGGTTAATTTATCTTTATGGGTTCCGACAAGAATAACAGGAGGGTTTTTACCGTCCGTTGACCCAACATATGTATGAATAGAGTTTATCCAAAACTTTATGAATTGCTCCATCGTTCTATCGCCTGTTTCCTTTGGAAATTCAGAATCTGTTACGACTGTTGACAAATCTTTTGATAAATCAAACACCAAGAGGTATACAGCGCGCTTGCTGTGGAATAATGTATGAGTAGCATAGAAGATAAACTGTCCAGCGAAGTCCCATATTTCAAACTTTCCAGCAACATTTGACAAAGATTTATCAGATGTAAGACACGTCGAGAATGCTTGCATTTCTTCCGGTGTGAGGGATAATTTTGCTTCTTTTTTGAGAAACATCTTTGCCGTCTTTTGTTTTCCTTCCGTCTCAAATGTGATGTTGTCAGTTTCTGTATTTTGAAAAGATGGTTCGTATTCATGATAAATTTCATCGAACGAATCAGTTTGTTGTTCTAAACGTCCATACTCGGATACTTCCGTGGGGTTTATTTCATTATCAGTCAAAACGTGTTCCCGACTCTTTGCGACTTCGGCAATACGGTCAATAATTTCAATATCATTAATTTTGGATGGATTTTCAAGAAGCATTACATCACCATTATCCTCAATATATTTGCAGTGACTAATTTCGACTCCATTCGTACTGTGAACATTTTCTTTCGGTTTTCCAACGAGAATATTCGTCAAAGATGTTTTGCCTTGATTAAAGTTTCCAACTACGTTCACTCTTATAGCTTTGTCTGTTTCAAAACCCGTAGATAGTGCCTCTCGATACAAATCATAATGTACAGGGTTATTTATAAACGCTTCGGGAACAGATTGTCCGCTTAAATCAATACTGTCATCCTTTCCAGCTACACGGAAATATATAAAAAGATAAATTAATTTATATCTGAAGGTATCGTAAAAAAGAATATACAATGTGGTTTAAATGATGGTTAAAGACTGACATAAAAAAGATCGAAACTAGGCAGTTGCCTACATTAAATCTTAAAATTGCCTGGTCTGTGAATTGATGGTTTCTCGGTTACTCTATATACGTTATATATTTGTCAGTTGCTGGTGCATTATGTTTTGCAAATTATTTTGTATAGTTACTTCTGTGATTAAATAAAAAGGCACAATGACGTAATTTCATACTACTAAATAGGCAAAAACGAAACATACTAATCCCCGATTTCTTAAGAGTAATAAATATTATCTCACATGAAGTACCTTATTTTATAACGTGTAGTCGTCTTAAATCTAAGGGGCTACTTTGAGCATAAAGTGTCTTAGCATTTTCAAAATGGCCTAAAATTCTTATATTTTTATTTGAAAATTACTTATTGGCTAATAACATGAACCATATTTTGCTCCTGAACAGTTTCAAAAATTTAGTATTTTGCATGAAAGTCAAAATACTACTTTTTCTATAGTGAAGCTAATATCTAGTAAGCTAATATGTAACAATAACAAAAAAAGAAAATAGTGACAAAGAAATACCATTTGATCTACATTACAGAACACAACCTATTTTAAATACGAAACATGTTATCAGTACATATTTCCATTTTATAATAGTAGAACAACATACATTTTAGGTGGATTAAGTTTAAAAAAATGAATTAATTACACTAACCAAATATTTTGAGTTTCTTTATTTAAGACCACTTATTAAATATATTAAATACTTTAAATTACTGTTTATAATAAGATGTATTACTCATTGTTAAATAAAACATACATGCATTATTAGTTTCCGATTATGAGGAAAACATATTTTGATTCATGACACCAATTCAATTTTTAAACACAATCTTATGAATTTTTCATTCTTTATTGTTCGAGATCGCTCAATTTATTAAGTATGCATATTCTATCTGTAAATATGATAGTTGTCTTAAAAATCGAATCTTTTCTTTCATGTGTCCTTACCATACTGTTAAAAAAAATATATATATTGGGGAATGTAACAAGAGCACCGCACGCAGTATTACCGTTCGTTGAGGACAATGACTATCAATAACCAATGCTGACCAAATAATCTATGTTTGAAATAACCGCTAAATTGTCGGAAAGCTTTATTATATTTAAAAAATACACATTTACACAATAGGAACATTAACCCAAAAATTCTTAACTCAGGACCGACTGTTATTTATATGAAAGTTCTGAAAGCTAGTGTTTACTACAAGAATTTGAAAGATATTGGTCACTATACAATACGTCATGCAAAATATATTTTTCAATTATACTATATATAGGTCCGAATATCAACGCTGAACATTGAAAACAAGAAAGTAACTAGGTCACTAGGTCAATAATTAGGTAATTTGATATCAAATTTTAGTTTTACATCTTACATTGTGCACAAAGTCAAAATGTTATGTCATAGATGAATGTTAAAAAAGCCAAAGGAAGTTACTTCATCAACACCTAGGTAAGCTCAAACCATTTAATTTAATTTCACATCTAAAACTGTACACATGGTCAAAATTTCATAGATGTACATCAAAGGACAAGAAAGTAGGTCACTTTGTCAAAATCAAGTTCAACTGATATCAAAGGTCAAATAACTCATTTATACGTGCACATGCCAAAATTTCATAGCTGTACATCAAAGGATCGCATCAACAAATTCTACGTCAGCTGATCAACATTCAATCTTACATCTAAAACAGTGCATATGGTCCAAATTTCATAAATGTACATCAAAGAACGAGACAGGAGGTCACTTGCCAAAATCAAGGTCAGCTGATATTAAAGTTCAATTTTTTACATCTCAAACCACGCAAATAGTCCAAGTTGCATAGCTATACATCAAAGAACAAGAAAGTTACTCACTGTGTCCCCTTTGACCGTAAGGATAGAATTTTGACTTCATGGCTTTTATTTGAAGAAAATGGACACAGGTCAACCAGATCATGTTAACTCTTGAATATCGAAGCTCAAACTGTCTCCTTTTAGAAAACATTTTAAATCTTGTTTCATGTATGTAAAGAATATCATTACTTAAAGGAAAAAAACTTTAGTTGTTGCTTGTGGGTATAAATTAAACAATTTTTATTGGGTTCATATTGTCTCATGCCAAAAATCTAAGCCCCTAAAGCTTCATAGGATAATTTCCCCATAAGATGTTTACTATAATTATATTTGTAATAAAAATCTATGCCCGCGATTAAAGACCAATTTTGACCACATTTTTCAATGGTCATGCCAAATATCTAACCTCTAGCCTAGGTCATTTAAGAAATAAAGAGTTGTTTTTTTAAAGTTTGACTATATCCATTTAAGGAAAACTAAGACCCCAGAGTGATCAAATGTTTGCACTTGTGGCAAAATTGAAACAATTTTTTAAGAGGACCAACAGATTATATAATATTCAAATTTTTAAGCTTTCAGCTTTGTTTATTCAGACAAGATTATTTTTTTCAAAGCTTATACTATATATATTCAAATTTGATCCCAAGCTATAATTTGAACTATCTTGGCAGAGGCACATCCGATAATGCCGTATGCAAAATATCAATGCTGTAACCTTTGTGGTTGATTCTACCTGTTATTACTTTTTTGCATGGAATCCGTTTAGTTGAAAAAAATTGGAAGTCATTCACCCGATAAACAATCCTGGCAAGTTTGCTTGACATTGGACCAGCAGTCAAACAGACAAACACACATGCATGAAGGTGAATCGCTATATGCCACGATGCTGGGGTGGCATATAAATATGTCATCAGAATTCGGACACAGGTAGTCTTAATCAATGTCCTTGTGAGACAACATGTTAACGCAATTGACAAATGTAAGTGGTCAAATATTTATGAAAAAAATGACATGGCCGGGATGCAGTTGTATACCAAATAGCATGAGGTTGTAGAACAAAAATGTTCTACCATTGACCATTAATGTCGAAAATGTAACTAAGTTGTTAAACATGAAGTAGATGAGCAACAAATCTAAAACTGCAACCCCCGATATGGGACTACGTGTAAATGCTGTATACCAAATATCAAGAGGTTGTTCTTAACAGTTGATATCTCTGCAACAAGTGAATGTCAGACAAGATGTTTTAGTTATCAGAAACAAAAGGGCCATGATGGCAAATATATTATCACCTAATTATTAAGGCTCTTAATGATAAGGAACAATTAATAATTGGGTCCTGCCACCTAGATTCGAACCCAGATAATCAATATTCAAACTTAAGCCCAAAATCAATAACAACCGACAATACGCAGCAACAGTTAGTAAAAGTTAGCAGTACAATATTTTTCATTATATCCCACTTGCTGTCAATGGCAAGAAATACCATTATATCCCATTCGCTAACATAAGCAGAAAATACCATTATATTCCACTTGCTGACAGAGGCAGTAAATACCGTAAATACCCAAGCAGAAGGGGGGACATCCCCACTCTGGCACACACTTAATGTATCTATTTGATAGGGGATGACGCCAACAAAGTGATCACTATTTTCAACAACATTTCTCAAACGAAACTAAGTGTTTGGGGTCTAAATAGGGCTTTTTTCAATTTTTGAAGCCTCAAAGCGGGTGGCAGAGGGGGGGGGGGGGGGGTAAAAAGTGGTCAAAACAGGTAAGGGTAAAGGTCAATAAAACAATTATGACCAATTTGAGCAAAATTCAATACAATTTTTGTATCACTAAGGTCAACGTCAAATAAAGGACAAGATCACATTAAATTAAATCTGCCTGGGCGTATTGATAAAACAGTTATGTCAAAGTTTGAATATAATACCAACATTCATAACAAGTTATAGCCAATTTTCACCAGTTTCTGCAAATTGAAGGACTTTAATATAAGGTCAATGTTATTGATTGGTCAATTCATATTACATGATTGGGTACTAATTGTGCACCCCTGGTCGCCGATTTGTTTTTGTACTGCTATGAAAGAGACTTTATGTTGAGTCTGTCTGAAGATAAACAACAAGATTTTATAGTCGCATTTAATAATACCTTGATGATATTTTTAATTTAGATACTTCTTATTTTGATCAAATGGTGTCTGACATTTATCCGCATGAACTTCAACTTAATAAAACGAACTCTTGAAATTTTAGTACATCATTTTTGGATCTTCATATTACTATCAACAACAATTCTATTCACACGAAACTCTATGATAAAAGAGATGACTTTGAATTTTGTATAGTTAATTATCCACATTTAGATGGAGACGTACCCCATGCAACATCTTATGGGGCTTATGTTTCTCAGTTAATTAGATTCGCTAGAGCTTGTAGCAACGTAAAGGATTTCAACGAGCGGAATATTTTTATAACCAGCAATCTTCTAAAACAGGGCTACCGCTATCATAAATTACAGAAATATTTTACTAAATTTTACAATCGTAACTTTGATTTAATTTCTAAATTCAATAGTGACTTAAAATCTCTTCTGCGCCAGCCTTGTTTTTATGGCGATGTGATTTACAAACTTCGTAAGATTTTGGGTGTTGGTAATTTTTCTGCAGTTTTTACTAAAATCATTAAACGTTTTATTAAAAAAGGTTATGACCCTACTATTTTAAGACATACTGCATGTTTAGTGTTAAACCCTATTACAGTTAGACACTACGCCTTCCTCTTTTGATTACATCTGACGGACCAAGTGGGAGACTCTATGATGGATAGTTCTTAAAACCCTTTTGGACTGAATTGTCTTAATAATCGTCTTCTGTCTTGCTTCGTCGGGCCCTTGTAGGTGATTTTCTTGTTGCTCAGTCTTCCTTTAGGACTTTGAGTACTTTTGTTATGGTCATTGGGTTCACTTTTATATGTTTCTTCATGATCATTTTAGTGTTTAACTTTTTTAACCTTTTGTAACCATGACAACTGTTAGAATTTCACTTGTCGGGGATTCATTTTATTTACACTGTCTCGTTTATAGGAACATGGTGGGGCTAAGAGTGAGGTTTGGTGCACCATTAACCGGTTTAAACTTCCCAGCAGTCATTATTATGCTGCTGACCGTTCCAAGGCGGCGTCCCTCTGTGTTCCTCAGATGTATGTCTATGTTGTTCATACTGTTTTGGTGACACTTTTGCTTGTGTCCCTTGTTGTTTTCTCGTCTACGGTAAGTATCTTCCCCATTACCCCTAGTTTTTATTTCATAATTAATCCCCCTCCTTTCCCCCCCCCTTCGATCTCCTGTCCCCTTCCCCTTTGACTTTGTAGGCCTATTATTCATTCATTTCTTTGTTTTCTTTGAAATTCCTAATCAGTTACAAATTGGTTTGTTATTTCAGTGATTAACCTGTCCGTGCTTCTTGTCTTTGCCCTGTCCCTGTTTTCCGTTTGGGGTCCGCCTGGGCTCCTGGCTACTTATTCTTTTGTTGCTGGGGTCATATGGGGGTTGCGTTCATTGAACGCCGCCTTTCCTTGTTGAACCTTGTTTATCATATTTTACAAATATGCATAAGAAGAAATCATATGAACATTTTGTTTTCAGGTTTCATTTAAATTTGTTCATCAGTTTCCAGAAAGTAACGCAGTCAAATCCGTAAAATAACCAAACGGCCGACCCAAGCTATTAAAGACATTAAAACTTTTGTTGTGCGGAGTGTGTCAATGAATTAACATCATTTAAGAAAACCCCATTAAAGGGTTTAAACCCTTTCCCTTTAAATGTAAATAAAATCTCAAATAAAAAAGTTTTATTTTAAAAAAAATAAAATGAAAAAAGGTTTTCCAAATTTGGGAAGGGGTTTAAAATTTGATTATAAAAAGTGCCAAAATGTTAAATTTAAAAATTTAGTCATTTTCATAAATCCCTAGTTTGGAATTGATGAAGTATTTTTTGTAAATTTAATAAAAACCAAAAAATTCACATTTTTCAGTTCTTTTTGAAAACCCAATGATTAAAAACTTAGAAAAAAAAATTGGGTGTTTACCTTTAAAAATTTACGGCAAAAAATAAATTAGTTTATTTTTTAAACAAAAGTGGAAGGAATTTTAATTATAAAAATTGTAAATTAAATTTTTTTACTAAGTCTTTGAATTTAGACCAATTTTCTTTTTTTCCACAAACACGAAAATATTGGTGAAAAAATTCTTAAATATTGCCCTGAAGGGGGAAAAAAATTAAAACCAAATTTTTAAAAAACCCTGGAGCCCAAAGTGATCCCCGAACCTTTAAATCAAACAAAAGTTATTTAAAAATGCAGACCCCGGTTTGATTGAGTCCTGAAACATAAAGGGAATAATAAATAAGTGAACATCCCCCCAACGCCCCCCCTAGAACCGGTTTGACGGTACTAATTATCAACCTTAATAGTGCTGGCATCAATGTTTCCCGAAGGCCCCAAAAAAAATATAAAAAAACACTGAAAGTAAAAGGGTCCCCGGGGGCCAAACTTTTGGGGCCTCCCACACTTTTAAAACAGAAATCGGAAATTGAAGGGTTTGAAAAAAATATCCTTCTTTAAAAACCCCAAGTTGATCCCTTATCGCAAATTTTGGAAATGTCAAGATCAAAACGCTAACAAGTATCCATTGAAAGAATGCCTTTTAAGAATAGTTTTATATACTTAAGGACAGTGAAATCGCACGCCCTCACTATATTCATTTTATTACATGAAAACGAAACACGAACGACTCCATTAGATATATATCATAACTTAAATACAAAACGCAAACTTAACAACTGAAAATAATTCAAAATATTTGAAATCAAATACACACCAGTAAATCGAAGAACCTAAGGTAAAAATTCCAAAATCACACTTTTTAACCACAGTTATGCAAACTTAGCAAAGGCAAAAACCGAAATGAAAATTCAAAGTCACTCATAAATGTCTATTCGTAATTTCACCGTCGGGATTTTTAGAAACGACAATGTCCTCTATCAGCGTCTCTTACAGATGTACATCGTCGATTCATAGACCTTACGGTGCGGATAGCCGCCTGTGGAATCTGACGTCATTCTGCCTGTAGTTTAGTGCGAAATCTATCCAGCGGTTATTTCTTTGTAGAAACATTGCATACAATTTACAACAAAGTCTTCAGTAGTGTTTGAAATTTAGTACCTTAGATGAAAAGTGTGTACATTTTGTATATGTGAGCTTTTACGATTTCTAAAACTGACCATTGGCATATTTTATATTCATTTTCAAAAAGATTTTAATCACTCATTTCTAGAAAGGTATGAAAAACAATAATTAACAGTTTAAACAAAAATAATTTCATTTCATAACCATGAATTGCTTCAATCTGTTTTTTTTCTGTTGTGATCTTATCACAATTAGCCAAGAGTGTTACTTATGATTTTTCGGGTACTATCTTTATTATGCAATAACTTCATTAAAATGCAATCATTTTTTATAACTTTTGTATCCCAATGACCGAAATGTATTCGGTTTTATGACCATGTGAAAAAATATTTAACAGATAATATTTTCCTTGTAAAATGCAATTATCCCGACCGTGCGTTTTCATTGTCCTTAAGTATAGATATTGACAATAAAACTTGTTATCCATAAAAGTTTCAAAGCATTTGTTTGTATACTTGTAAATTCATTTTCTCTGCCTTTCAAAAGATTTCTCAAAAATGTTCAATTTATTAACTAAACAACAAAGCATTAAATCTTAAAAAATAACCAACCTGCCCCCTGCTGTCCTTTAATATCATCAAGGTGTTTCTTCACTTCAGTTATATTTTCTTCCATGTCTGTCTTTTCCTGTTTCAGTCGGTCAACATCGGCTTCGTATTCCTTCGACTTTTTTATTTCTCCCTGTATGCTGCTCTCTTCTGCCAGATTAAAAGGGCAAGTTTTGAGTTCGTCAATCATTTGCTGAATGTTCAAAGCTGGAGAACTTCGGCGAACAAGTATCTAAAATCGGAATTTAAAAACCAATTTAACATCTAGGCTTAAGTGTTTGATGATTTTTATAAGTGTTTATCGAAGATGTTGTCCCAATAAATTATCTGTTTATATAAAATTATTAGACATAAAAGACAAATTTGCTGAACAAGAGAATAATGATGGCCCTTATATAACTCTCCATTTTATTATACAGGCTCTAAATGACAATGAACAATTAATACTGTTTACTATGAATGAAAAGCGGATAGAAAACCTAAATCTTATACTGATATCACAAAGATAATATCTGCATCTGAAATCGTGCAAATGTAAAATAGTTTACAGGTTGTTATTGCCAAGAAAACTCATCAGTTATTAAAGAATTCACTGGTGGCCAAACAAAAATTTCATATTGATAGACAATCTCTGGAAAAAGTTGGGTAAACAATGTCATTAAAGCTTCGTTCATTATTGATTTGTTTACCAAATGGTAATTTTATTTGACCAAAATTTAATTAATAAGGGTGATTTTTAATAGTTATTTATGTACTGCACACGAACTGCCAAAATTCTGGTAGCCTTTGCAAATAGGGTTGACCAATAACTTTACTGTCGCACACGCTGTCAATATAAAAGAGACACATGAAGTTATGGAAGCCAGAACTAGCTTTTTGCATTGCTATTTTCAATATTAAGACATTCTTCACAGTTAGAGTATTTGTTCTGGAAGCAACGGAGACCTATATCAAATGGAATAAAAATCCGAAAAAATGTTTCCAGTCCCGTCATGTATAAAAACCTAAATGGGGTCCCTTTGATTGGCTTACTTGCTTCGACGTACATGTAGCGCGTCAATCATTTATTTACAAATATCTACAAAATTCCTTTCAAATACCTATCCCAAGAAAGATACAAGAACGTGGACAAAATAACAATAAATTGGGAGAAAATAAACGTTCATACAGTGCTAAAGTATAAATACCCAAGTACTTTCGGCGTATTATGCCTCCATCAGGAATGCATTACATGTATAATATGCACACATTGCATATAAGAGACCTAAAAGCCTCTGAGACATACTTGTTCGAACCCAACTGAGACCAATAATGACAGACAAAGAAGGTCAGTCTGGACCATGTGGCAGACCGAGATGCCAAACATGTGCTGTCATGCACCCCTTTAATACGTGCACTTCAAAAAAGGGGCTAAACAACTCTCAAAGGCATTATAATTTCCAAACAGCAAATGTTATTTATCTTATCTCTTGCAAAATGTGCAACAAAAATATGTCGGCGTAACTAAACTTCCATTAAGTCAACGAATGAACTTGCACCGCTCCGACTGGAAAACACGCAAATTTAATATATTCCCTGTCGCTGAACATTATCATGTTGAGGGACACAGTTTTAAAGATGCGTCCCTCTGGGGTTTTGAACACAACACATAGTGGTCAGATGTAACACGCAAATCACGTGACACATACTAGATTCGCCGACTTAATACGCTTGAGCCATCAGGAATCAATAAAGGAGACTAAATATAACATAAATATTCGCCTTTATCCGACAACTTGCTTAAAACATTCCTTTACTAATCAGGCTGTACCGGGGAGGGCAGTCTTTCCCAGTTCCTGGGAGATTTTCATCTTTTGTCACTTGTATTTAATTTCTACTTCATAACACATCCTACTTGATGAACATTACAATTTCTGACATATTACTTTTAGTAAATTAACACAAAACGCCTTTATACATGTAGTTATGTTTCGTGTTAAAAAGCTTAAATTTCCCTAAGATTCGATATTATATCTATGTTTAATCACATTGTCCGTGGGCCATATTATTCTTTTGTTAAGTATAACAGCAATTGCTATATATATATATATATATATATATATATATATATATATATATATATATATATATATATATATATATATATATATATATATATATATATATATATATATATATATATATGAATTATTATCCCATTAAATGTTTACATTATTTTAGGAAAACATTACTTACTGTACATTTTATACTAAGTCTTCTTTATCTGTCTTCATTTAAAAATTGTTTGAAAAGATAATACTATGATACTATGAAAGAGAAATGTGCTCACCTGTTCAATATCATTCCACCAAGCTGTAAAATCACTTTCTTGTATTTCAGTCGTTGTTGATATTCGAGTTATCTGTAATAAAAGCTACATATGATTTACCTTTAATAAGAGCTCATATTACCAAAATCATAGGTAAGAAAAGCATCCCTCACCCTTTTTCCGGTCTCAAGACCACCAACTCCCACCCTTCCAAAACAAAACAAAAAACAACAACACGTTAATAGAATGTCAAGGGAGGCATTGATAATTTTGAATATGAAAGTAAAGCAGATTTGTTGTACACATAGTTTTAAGACCCCTTTTACGTCCGCAGTAATAAGTACGGTAGAATGTAAATTATGCCAAATTTGTTTATATAATTATGTATTTAGTTATACAGGTTTTGTTTTTTGACAAAATGCAGGTAATAACGGTATGAAGCGTACATCACAATGCATTTCTTATGAATGAGATATAATAACTAACGAAGTTTAAAAGCCGCTACTAAAAGCAAATGAAAAAATGTAAAACATTGTATGGAAAAGTACAAAAGAAAACTCACTACAAAATTATGCAACACTAAGCTAAATCCCATCGTTTGTTCTTGAAGGTCAAGATAATTTATGAGTCACTTTCAAGTTAAATATGTTATGCTTAAACATTTTTTCAAAAGGGCTATTGTATTAAAGCATGACATCAATCCATTTAGAAATTAAAAAGAAACGTTAAAGTTTGCGGTTTAAAAGTCAATACCACCAGGAACTAAATCATGACTGTCAAAACATCTCGGATTGTTTAAAGACTGCAGTTATATTTCGGATTGTTTCATGACGGCAGTAAAAGCTCGAATTGTTTCATGGTGGCAGTTGAACCAAAGATTATTTCATAAAGGCAGTGAAAGCTCGTATAGTTTCATCGTGACATTAAAGGCGTGGATGTTTCATGAAGGCAGTAAAAGCTTGGGATTGTTTTAATATTGCAGAAATATCTCGGAATATTTTTAACGGCAGTAATATCTCGGATAAGTTCGTGAACGTAGTAATATCTCGAATCATTTCCTAACAGAAGTAATATCTCGGATTTTTTCATGAACAGTAATATCTCTGGGTATTTTATTATGGCAGTCTTACCTCGGATTATTTCATAATGGCAGTATTATCTCCGGTAGTACTATCTCTGATTGTTCATGACGGCGGTAAAATCTAGGATTATTTCATGACGGCAGTATTATCTCTGATTATTCATGATGGCAGTAATATCTCGGATAATTGATGACGACAGTATTATTTCTGATTATTTCATGACGGCGGTATTATCTCTGATTATTTCATGACAGCGGTAATATATCTGATAGTTTCATGACCTCAGTATTATCTCGGATTATTTCATAATGGTAGTATTATTTCAGATTGTTTCTTGACGGCGGTAATATTTCGGATTATTTCATGGCGGCAGTTTTATCTTGGATTATTTCATGACGGCGGTAATATGTCGGATCATTTCATGATGGCAGTTTTATCTTAGATTATTTCATGACAGCTTATATTTCGGATTATTTCATGACGACAGTATTTTCTCTGATTATTTCATGATGGCAGTATTATCTCAGATTGTTTCTTGACGGCGGTAATATCTCGGATTATTTCATGACGGCAGTTTTATCTCGGATTATGTCATAATGGTAATATTATCTCGGATTATTTCATGACAACAGTTATATCTCTGATAAATTCAGGACTGCAGTATCTTCTCGGATTTAAAATTGCCTTTCGCATTGTTATGGAACATAATTAATGCATTTATTCTATCTTGCTTGATGACATTGGAACTTGCATTATGAGTGATTCCATCTTGCTTTATGATATATAAACTTTGCATTATGCTTGATTCCATTTTGCATTATTTAATTCAAACTTGCGTAGCGACTAATTCTTTCACTGAGTGATAACTATTGCACTTGCACAAGCCATTTATCGTACTGTTTTGGAATTATATTAAAATGTTAACGTCATGTAAAATATTTGTGTGAAGCCAAATGATAAAAAATTATTTATTTTATTTTACAAAAAGAAGCAACTATCAATATTTTCGAATATCAAAGTTGAGCATGATAGAACTTTAAATTCAATTTCACTATTGCACAAATGACGTAGAAGAACAAACAATGTATAAGAGGAGATTTGCCACTTGTACAATGTTATTATAGACATCTATTACATTTTTGTCACATGCTGGCCGAATCTTAAAATTCTGGAAACAAAGTGATCCCTCGGAAGCATTAATCACAACAAAATTACATAAGAATTGCAGACTCGGTTTGATTGAGTCTGTACATGAGGGATAATGAATAAGTGCAACATCCCTCACGCCCCCCAGCACCGGCTTGAGCGGTACTCAATAGCGGTACTCAATTCTCATCACTTAATAGTGCTGGCATCAATGATCCCAAAGGACCAGAAAATATAACAACACTGAAGTGAAGTACGGGGCAACGTTTTACAGCTGCCACACGGCACTTAACACCTGCTGTTGTGAAGTATAAAATTCTGGAAACAAAGTGATCCCTCGGAAGCATTAATCACAACAAAATTACATAAGAATTGCAGACTCGGTTTGATTGAGTCTGTACATGAGGGATAATGAATAAGTGCAACATCCCTCACGCCCCCCAGCACCGGCTTGAGCGGTACTCAATAGCGGTACTCAATTCTCATCACTTAATAGTGCTGGCATCAATAAAAAAACACGCAATTTTCGCCTGTCGCATCGTTTTCTGTTGTTTTCCTCACAATATTCCACTTACATGTAAGCCCAGTTAACACTGTTCGGTATCCGCCCCTATATAAAGGGGGCGTATCTTTGTTTTCTCCACGTGCAAAAATAGCGGGACCAGCCAGAAAATAACGGGATGTACCGACAAATCGTCAGCTGCTGTCATAATATGAAAACAAAATATTAAAACTGGCATTATGCTTACCGCAAACTGCTAAGTGTTTTCCTTTACATGTGACTATAATATTGCTTTCGTTGTCATCTTCGTTGTCATCTTCGTTGTCTATGCGCAGTGATTATGTATTGCATAAATATTTGTATTTTATGAATGTATTGAAGCATATGAATGCTTACACACCTCAAATTCGCCATATATTGATCAAAATTATTTATTTATTGTGAAAAAGTGTCGACAATTTAAGTGGCAGATTTATAGCAAATTAAAGGTACTGCCAGGAACTTACCATCTTACATCTAGTTACATCGAGAACAAGCAAAGAATGTTTTGTTCACCCACCGAATATAATTCGCTGTCTTTAAAAATGATGCAAGTAAACATATAGCATATTACAATATGTGAGTTTGATGGTTCAGAAAGGAACACACGAAGTTGCAGTTACAAAATAGTGCATTAGATAATCATAATGCATGATAGAATTCGGCAAAACGTAGGTTCTCATTGTTATCAAGAAGTATGGAGGCATGCATAATGTTAGTCCCAATATCATTATGCAAGATGAAATAAATGCACTAATTCTGTTCCATACATTGGCTTTTTTTGTATAATACACTTACTTTATTTCGGAAATCCCTTAACCTCCAAATGTCTGCCTCCATTGATACATCGGTTGGTGCTGGTGTTGCCATCCAATTAAATTTTCTATTGAATCCGAAACATTTCAGGTTTCTAAGAAGACAGATGATAAGCGTGATGTCCAAATCTGACGAAGACGTGACTTTACCGCCCGCTGGAAACAATACGTCATATTGGACCTGGGTTATAAGGCCGCGGCTTTTCAAACGTGTTATTGTTGACTTTTCTTGATTCAAGCACGCACTGAACGTTAGGCCTTGACTTGTCAGGGACTGTTCCAGTATATTTCTCACTACCAGGACGCCACCATCAATGACTAGCATTTGTAACCGAAACAAAAATATGCGGTTTTTTGACGTCTGTGGTTGACCTCCGGTTGCCATTTTGTTAAATTCTTTATGTGTTACATCTGTGTTATAGCCACATCTGTAAATGATATTATAATATACAAGTTATTTAAGAAATTAAACAATTGCTTTAAACACATTCCTTTACATGTAGTTATGCTTAGAATCGTAATCATAATAATATAGACAATTTATGTTAGTTACATGTATATTGATATTTTTATTGGAAATGTTGTCAGATTGTGTTTCTGTCAAATTATTCAGATTAAAACGTTATCATTCTAATTCGTTTTATTATAAATAACAATAACTGTGAAACAAAGATATAGTGATTCAATAAACATTTTATGTGATCAATTTAAAATAAATATCTAGTAAAAGAAATTCAAAACTAAATTGAATTTCATTTATGGTAGTCTGGGATAACAATTTCTCCCGTTTTCTTGAGTTTTGGTAAAACAATAATCGATTGCACGACAGAAATACTGTTGTACAGGGTTCACCGGAAATAGCACCTCAAAATATCGAATAACGAAAGAAAACAAATTAACGTCGAATTCACCCAAGGTAATGTTTCAACTTCTTTCTCAATCATAACTCAATCGCTTTTCCCAAACTAAACAATTTTGTGAAGATAAATATTTCTGGTTTTAGAACAGTATTTGCTTTTTCTGCAAATTGGAAACTTTTTGTTAATATGGCGATAAATTGTAGCGTATTTGTTGAAATCTGCGAACGATGATGACCACGCGTATGATATATGCGTATGTTTAATTGATTTAATTTAATATTTTTTATCCTTTGAAAAAAATATTACAATGTTTTATTTTACGATCCCTGCTCCAGACACCGATCGTTTATATCTTCAACGATGTACTTATATGATCTGGTACTGAAGTTTATTTTTTTGCCGAAAATGGCAAAGTGAGCTACTACACCCCGTACACTCCCAAACAGTTTTCCATCTTCCCGTGCTAGACACTGTACAAAAGAAAAGGCCGTTTTTTAGCAACAGTTCGAGTTGATGGATGGTCACTCAAATACAAGTAAAAGGAATTCTATTATTCAACAACATCAACGGATTTTCATACAACAAATGCGTTTTAGGCTTGATTTAGTGGTAAATATCAACAACGTGTGCAACTTCAAACAAATACGCTACAGTTTAGCTACATATCAACTTTACAAGCTCTGTAGTATCACACATTTAGACTTGAATATGTTTACTTTACAATACTGATTAGAGGGGCTTGATTTATATAATTTTTGTGGAAGTCCACAGGGCAATACTACATGCAAAATGTCTAAACTACATCCATACGTTTTCACTCCGCGCCCCCGCCATTTTAACTTATTTATTATCAACTTTTCGTGGAGCGAAAACACGAATAGCAAAAATCAGCCACATAAACAAAAGAAAAAAAAAACAAAGAAAAAACGTGTTAGAAAAGAAATGAAACCCATTTTTATTACAATATGGCTGTGTTTTGTTTTTCTAGTACTAAATAACTTTTGAACTATTTAAAATAGTGTGCACGTTAGACTTCGTGCAATTTCTCTTACATTCAATATATGTACTTGATGTTATTTTCATAACTATAGATAAAGGCAATAGTAGTACAATTAGCTCATATATCCCTGAATCCTTAGTTATTGCACAGAACTATATTTGATATATAAGTATGTGGCGATCCTTTGGCCAAAGACCTACACTCGGCGTACACTCAAAATAAGCCGAGGTACATTCGACCAATAACAATTCGTCGAACATGGAGTTTTAACTATTAAGCTAGAGTCGACGATAGGAAACAATCAATTGAAACTTACTGTAAATCACTATAAGCATTGAGAAATAAAAAGATTAAATTTATGTTCAGAAAACCGGAAAGTGAATTATATTAATCTGTTTATATTAATTAGTGTATTGATATGTTTATAGTTTCCAATTTTGTTCTATTTATCCTGTTCTGGATGTACCACAACAACAGCAGATGAATTTAAAAATGCATACATGTCTTTTATCATTATCATCATTATTAAAATCCTATACATGTATTACATGATTTTGACTTAAATCATTTCAATTTGAATAATATATTCCTGGTTGAAATATGTTTTGCATGTTCTACAGAACTATTGAATTATTCACTTGAAACAATTTTTGATTGAGATATAATTTTGCAAAATACCCGTCACTATAACGTGGATTTGACTGAATGATAGCCATTTTAGAACTCACGTACGTAATTCATGGTTAAAAAATACAAGGACAATCATTTAACCATTGATGTGTCCATTGTTTAGCCACAATGTCACTAAAGCTTTGTGAACAATCATCTAGTTTTCGAATCATGTCTTAATTTGGTATTAATTTCACAGTAGGTCCAACTACTTAATTTTGATAGACGTACATAGGTTAGTTTTTTACAGGAAAGTTATAAGTGTAAGAACGATGGTTGTGCCAAAGTTATAGAAGGAAATATATATAGTACTGTAGGTTGAACATTCCGGTCGATACTAAAAACGTTATAGACTAAACGATAATGGTATCTTGAAACGCTTAAGAGCGCACGCAAAATAAAAATGTTTCAAGAGATTAAAATAAAATATCTTTTTAATATAAAATTTTAACACTTTTCAGCTGCGATTGTTCACCGATATGTTTAAATGATAAATGTAGATTTTTCATAAGGGTTATATTAATGAATGTACCCTCATCAATTAAATTTTAACAACAATGTAAGGCAATAATGTTTATCAGTATCTTTTTGTGATTCAAAACACCCTATCCAAAAAAAAAACAGTCTCTCCTGTCTCGTAATTCAGTCCATCTCAGTCTTAGTACAGAACACCCTGTCAGCCACATCCTATGACCATTTGCCTGTGAAAACTCACAAAGGAGAAGTCCATATAATTCCTGCGCTAAATTCTTGTTTAAAATTTGTAATCAAATAGGGGAAAATACCCTGTGGTATTTTAATAATTTAAACTTTAATGTTTTAACAGTCATATGCGCTAATAAATTTCCTTCCTATTTCTTACTGTAAAGTATATTTTTCTGTTACATTCATGCGTTACAAGATGTGCACGGTGACATTTAAAAAAACCATTTGGATGACAATATGTGTTTGTTTGTTTTTATTTTTGTTGTTTTGCTTCTTATTTGCAGTTGTTTTTAATAGCAGGTAGTGGCAGGGGAAACAAAGACTTTTCTATTTAAGGCCTAACGTTAAAGCTCTTAAATGCTTACAAATCGGATGTAACACTAAATATAAAATCATGCAAACGCACAATGATTTGTAACCTATATTTACATGTATGTATTTACATTAATTTTACATCCGTGTAGACTATGTCTAATGCAAACGTACGTTTTAAGGTCACATTGCGTGTGACAAGTCGGTGCAATGGACCAATATTTAATTTTCATCTATATTATGATCATTCTGGGCAATTTACTGTTATTAGGAAGGGGATTTTCAGACATGTCTAAATAAAATAAGTGATCTACAAGTTCGGACCAGCGAGACAGGTATCTACTAGTATGCCTTATTTCTATATATGTGTTTTCTCGCATATAAGTCTATATAAACTAAGTGACCTCAGGGCGGGCAAGTTTTGACCGCGGAACATGATTTATATAATATATATATAGAGGCCCACAAGGCAATGCTACATGCAAAATATATACGCTCCAAGCATTGTAGTTTATTAATGAAGACTTGAGTGTTATTTCATATATAGGTTCATTTAAATTAAGTAACCAGGCAGAAAAAACGGGGTTATTTTTTTCCCAGTGGCATAGACTTTACATAATTATATTCCTTTTGTACTTGACCACAAGATAATGATCTGTGCCAGATATTTTTGCTCTGAGCAATTTAGTTTTGGGGGAAATATTTTAAAGATAAATTTACCATAAGATTTATGTATGAACGAAGACAACTCTAGGGCGTGCCGATTTTAACCCTAGTAGCATGATTATTTTCAGTAGAGGTCTACAGTCTGAGTTATAATTTCACACACCAAAAAGACTTTAAAGCTTGTTCCTATATTAGTCCATATAAACTAAGTGACCACCAGTAGGGGCCTATATTTATCCGTGGGGTATGATTTATATCATCATTTATTTAAGAACGAGTTTGTGTCTGAGGTTATTTAATATCTAAGACCTTAGTATTGTAGTACCTAAGTAGAAATATAATGGTATTGTACATGTCAAGCTGTTTAAATTATAGTACCTAAGTCAAATATTTCATTTTAGTGTCCTTTTAGCTCCTGTGGCATAATTGTGAAATATATTTTTGATTTTCTTTTACTGTAGAGTACCAAAGGATCATGATTCCTGTGAAGTTTTGTCACAATCTGGAGTGAGGCTAAGAAGAAAATGTTTTTATTAAGACGTGGTAGAAAATGAGTAATTTGAGCCAGTTTTATGACACAGACTTACATAGAATAACTGAAAGTTTTGTGTTAAACTGCATGGTTTACAACTGAAATGTTCAACACTTTCATAACGTAGTGGACTTATGTTAACGTTGTATAAATTTTGTCACCAGTCCATTGTATTTTACATACATTTTCATCGGAGAGTACATTTGAATATATTTTCCTTAAAACTAGAGCTTCGTTAGATATAACGTAATATAATGAATTTGGTTCAATTGGGATAAAATGGTCATGCCTCGAAGGTAATTTATTTAGGTAGACTTGTTATATGCCTAAATCTTTAGTTTTGAAATGAGATTTTGTCTGGTGATGAGATGAATGAGAAAATGTGTGAGTTTAAGTCTCACTAGGTATTTCCATTAAAAGTCAAAACATAAATGTTTACTCGGGATTAAAGATGTCTGAAGTTGGCGGCCTAGCGGCTCCAAGGCTTGGCTGCGTGAAGTTGGCGGTTTAGCGGCCTGGCGATGTGAAGTTGGCATCCTAGCGGCGTGCAGTTGGCGGCCAAGCGGTCTCAAGTTTAAGAATAATACAAGTTTGGCAAAAAAACTAAAATGACTCTTTATTAATCTTTAAAGACTTATCTTACCATTTAAAAGTGACATGAAAGAAACAATAACACATTTAGACAGTTTGAGAGATACTGTATTCCTATCATTTTGTGAAGTTGGCGACCTGGCGGCCCATCGGCCTAACGGCCTAAAATTTTAATGTTGTAGAAATGTTATATAGACAATAAAACGGGATTTAATGAAGTTCTCAAGACAATTCTTGTAATTAAAAGGATACATAAAATTGAAAAAATCGCTTGGAGTAAACTTTTTATTTTATTCTTTTTGTGAAGTAGCGGCCTGGGGTCCATTACATCAAATAGGAGGGTGGGATAAGAAAACCGTCATAGTTTGACAAATGTAGTCGGGGCATCAAACAATGTCAAATTAGTTTTAATTATGATTATCTAGAAACATTTGTGCAAACTATCAAGAAAGTTTACCATGATTATTTTAAATTATAATCATTTTAATTGGTTAAGCTTTCTAATTTCACACAATTAACAGTAAAAATTATCCATAAAATTTATTTTTTATAATAACAAATTTTATATATACCCCGTAACAACCCGTTTCCGACAACTTAACAATATATGGGAGCGTAATCTACTATTTATGTTGAAGAAAGTAAATATTTGTCATGATATTGTAAAATCGTCTTCCCGCTTATTCATGATACAAATAAAATCTACTTACGGCATTTTTTGTTTTAGTTATCTATATTCAATATGGCCGATCTAATGCCCCAAAAACGGAAGTAGCACAACCTGTTTCCGGCAATTGTTTATTAAAAGTATACTTCACGAAAAAGTATGCGTCACATATATTAAGTTAAATAACATACACAACTTAAACTGTAAGTAATATTTTAACTGTTATAAAACTTTTAACTGTTAGAAACATATTTACAATTGTTTTTTTTTGTTTTGTTTTTTTCATCAAACGTTTAGTTGCTGGCGTCACTACAGAAAGGGCAGAGGAATTTGTCATCTCTTCCTATAACCCTTGCTGATGAACAAAATGACAAGTGTACCGTATCACATTGTCCCCCGTTGACTATTAAGAGTTGTGGTTTATTGGGTGAATCTGGGTAAAAACTCTTACAAACTATACATTTGTCTGTTTCTTCTTCATCAATTTCCGATTCACAGCTTGAGAAATACTCGTTAAGTGTTACTTTTTTTGTTTGAATTCCAGATGTAGAGGGCTCTATATTTTTTCTTTTACCTTTAACTGAATTTGCTTTATTTGATTTTTTGTTTGTTTAATATTTGAGATTTGTTTTGTGTCATGATCAATATTTTTTCAAATACTTCATTTTCTGTGATGCATTTACCACCAACTATATTACTCAAAGTATTTCTTATTTTTGCTTTCTTTCATTTTGCAGAATCCCCCCCCCCCTCTGTTCAGTTAGAATGTCTCGACAGCCTTAGATGTTTCATTAACCGGTGTATGTGATGAAGGATCAGGGGCATCAGTGGCAGATATAGTATCCCTATCAAAAGATGTGGCTGGAGCAACTTTGGCATATTCAATTACAGACTTGTCAAAGGGATAAATTCCACTTTTCCTAAATGCACACTGGATGTTTCCAGGATTTAAAGTGCTGGCATAAACACTTTGCGTGCTATTTTGCAGACATCATATCGTGTTATTACATTTCTACCAGATTCACAAATAAAACTGTGACATGCTGAATTACATGCAATCTCAAATGGGCCAATGGGGCAAAGCAGCTAACATCTAGTGGTTGGAGAAGATGGCTACAATGTGGTGGTAACATAAACAAATGAATTTGATGAGATTGGGGCCACTCAATAATCGGTATGGTTATGTGACTCTTATGCTCATCATAAAGTAAAAGAATATCATCATTATCTCTTGGAGGCAAAAACTTGATTAGATGCTCCTGAATGTAATTGCAAAATATCTGGGAGTTAGACCATCCAGACTCAGAAACATCATCATCTGCCCAAGCAGTTGCTCCATCCAGCAAGGAATCAAGCATTCTGGCTACAGGGAAAACAAATGTAGGGGGGGGGGGGTATTACTTGGCCAACACTTTTAGCACAGCATATAAAAGGAACCGTTTTCCTCTCCCAGATGTTACAGCTTGAGATTTGAAATACCCCCCCCCCCCCCAATCACTTTAGGTGGCTTATGTTCTGTGCTTAGACCCTTTTCATCAATGTTATTAATCCTATGAGGTTTGTTAAGAAGGTTGTACTTGAAACAATATGACCAAGTTCCTCAAAATATGCATCAACAGCCCCCCTTGTGGCAGACTTTGCCCTTGCAATTTCTAAACTACGTGGCTTCTTTACACCAATTTCAGGCCACCAGCTTAAAAACTTATACAACCATCTATCAGTGAGTGGGTGATCTTTATCTGTAGGCCTAAATGAACAGCATAGTCAGGTGCTAAATTTAAAGTTTCCTGGAGGCTATAGCCATAACCCTAGTCATCCATTGTCTTCAAATGACCAACTTGAAGTGCTTCTTGCTCCTCATTAAACAGAGGCTGAGGACCTGATTTGATTGTCTCTATATCAACTTTGCCATATAGTCTATCCTGTATGGTTGTTCTAGGTACATTAAAGACTTCTGATGCTTTATTTGTTGACATTTTGTCTTCTTCGACAGCAAAATAAACTTTTGTCAAGTTGTCAGGATCATAGGTTCTTTAAGAACCCCTGTCTGGCACATGATGCTGAAATATCAAAACAACATCTATTAGCATTTATTCAATTAAATTCAATTAGTAAACAATAAGCCTATCTATTAATAAGGAACTATGGTTATGTTGTCACGTTATTTTTTTCTGTGAAGTATACTTTAGGAATCATTGACAGGGGGAAGAGCTTAGAAAGTGACCTAATTCTGCAGATGAGCCTATTCGTTTTTTACAAACGTTCAATCTTTATATGTAAAAAATATGAACATTTAAAAGCTGAAATTTTGGGAATAGTGAAAATATACAAAAAAGTACGTGCATACTTATTTTTACTCATACTTACGGTTCTTATCTCCATTTTGCGTCAGATAAATTTGCGTGACATTTCTGTGATGTTTGTAAACAAAACGCGCGCACTTGACCCGGATGTGATGTGAGGAAAGTAAAAAAACTAAAACTTTCCAGGGCCTCCGGAAACGGGTTGTTGCTGAATTGTGGTTGTTCCGGGACAAATTAAGAAAGAAAATCACAATCTGACAAAACAAAATGTAGAAAAAAGACAAAAATTGAAGAAAGAAAACATCTTCTGGGGTTTGAACCCACGCCCTACCGAAACTATGTCTCCTCACTGAAAATGAATACTCTTCAGAAAGGAGATAAATCTTTAGGCATCAATTACCTTAATATAATTATCGCTGTGTATAAAGTTTACGCGGCATTGAAATTAAATAAACCACATAAATATTGATTTGTCTCAGTGAACAGGTCTCTTATTTAAAAAAAAATAAATATATATAAATAAATAAATAAATAAATAAATAAATAAAATAGAATAAAATGAAATAAAAAATAATTATACAAAACTTACCTCTATCGCCATTTAACAATATAACACATAGTTTTTCCCATTTTGATTGGGTGAATTATTTTGCAAAAACCATATATCTGGTGTCAGAATGAATGTAATATATCATTTTAGTGTATTAACTCTCCGTTTTAAAACAACTTCCTTACTACTTAAGCAACTTTCGACCGAACAATATGCACACTTAGAGTGATGACGCTTTAAACAAATGTCAGTCAAACCGGATTGGTTAATTTCGAGCAGGACATTTTTACTATCACTACATCTACATTTTCAACTTTTCATATATATATATATAGAATGAAATAAATTACAAAAATTGCTTATGTTAGCAATACTTGGTTGAGTATCTGTGATACAATCTATTAAGCATATGTATTATAGAAAAAATGAAAGTCCGTTGATGCCATTATGACAATATTAAGATCATTATGCAATTGTGGTGTCGCCTTGTTACATTTAAGCCTTTTTCATACATTATCGCTGAGTCAATTAACATTCGTGACAATTTTTCATAGAACAAAAATAAGATATCACTATCACATTTTCTTTTTTATCAGCCGGAGGACTGACTTCTGTCAAATACACAGGAATGTAAGTGACTGACAGAAAGATTTCCATTGGTCATTTTAAGCTCGTCATAAGACAGATGCGCAGGCTGGTCTGGATCAATGCTGGTCGCAAACCCATTATGTTGGTTTTGTCGTGACACGGCACATTTATTTTACATAAAATCTCAAACTAATGGTTCAGCTGTATGCAAATGAAAAACGTATGAAAAAGTCGATAATTAGCATAAATATTTATATTTTGCATTTAATCGTTTTAATAAATTTAAACCTAGACTAGCTTCATCTGTTCTTTATCAGTTCATTATTGATTTGCTGACTTAATCGTTACATAACATTGTGAAATAGATGGCTTAATTCGTGGAATATGTGTTAATGTTGAATTACTATTTCAGACGGCTCTAGGGGCGTTAGGCATGTTGCACTTGTCCATTATTCCACACAAAACAACGTCTTGTATTTTTCATGTAATTTTGTTGTTTCATTGCTTCCGATTGGGATGGATCATTTTTGTTCCAGATAGTTTCCCGTATTTTTACAAATGACAACCAGTAAATGGACCTCAACTTTTTACAACATTACCTTTCGTCGCTTACTGACCGATCACAGGCTTACGAGGATGCTAAAAACTGTGCGTTAGATTAGTTTTCAACTATGCCATGTAATAATACTTGATATATTTAGAGAGAATATTATCCTTGCTAATATTTATTCATTTATTGCACGCTCGATTTTTGTCATATTTCTAAAGTAAAATACATCAGAAGATGAATATTGTAGTAAAGACTTCTCCCAGAAAACATCATTTTTGTAACAAATATTTTTTTTACCTTAACGGTAAAACTCATATCAGAATAATTCGGTTTTGTCATGTGTTCTTTAGTCGGAGTATGAAGAAAATATGTGAGTAAATAACAAAGTCAGTACAATCAATAATTTGACCTTGACAGTCAAGGCCAATTCATGGTCATGGTAATTTAATTGTTCCTACAGCGATAAAGACAGGAATTGTATTAGACCCTGCAGAAAAAATTGTGATCCGGCAGTCATATGCAGGAATCGTATTGGAGCTTTTTGCGATAAATACATGAAATATACCTTGCAGGCAAATACAGGAAACAAAATTTATCCTGCAGCGTTAAATTTATGTAAATTAAATCCTGCAGCCTAAACTAAAGATTATTAACCTCTGCAGTCAGATACAGGAAATGTGTGTCATCCTGCATTTTATCCTACAGCGATAAATTTATGTAAACCTTCAATCTAAACTAAAGGAATGATATCAACCCCTGCAGTCATAAAATTCTATAATGTGATTTATAGGTTAGTGTCAAATGTAAATTATTTTTGCCAACAGCAACAGGGATGCAAACATACGTAAAGAAATACCTATTTTTGGGGAGGCTATGCCTCCCTAATGTTAATAACCATCCGTCAAATCTTACTGCCGCGGTAATCAGGTAAAAAATAGTACCTTGATTAGCTGACTCATCACTCATCACAGACATTTACAATATGAAAATATTTTCATTCTTTATTTCATATCTGCAATTTGTAAAGATGATAATTCTCTGAAAAATTCTTGATTTTTGTTTGTTATTTTTTTCAAAATCACTACTCCGTGACGTCATACTGCCGCGGTAATCAGGTTTAGACATACGTACGTTGCTAATAAATAGTACTGGTATGAAAACCCCTCTATATAATAACTTTATCAATATTTTTTAAACAAAAAGCATAAATGAAAATTTATAGGTAAATGCTTTAATTAGGTGGCAAATATTCTTTACTATTTTTATAACAATTTTCCAATTACAACGCAGCGACCAACTGTTTATGACGGGTCATTAACTAGAACGTTGCAACATCGTAGTCTCAATATCAAGCATGTTCTTTTGTTGTTATAAACTATTCATAGTCCTTAATATTTTTTTAAAGACAAATAATGGTAAACTGTCGCTTACATCAGAGACATGGATCATGCTTGCGTGATAACTAAGGAAAACTAACTTATTAGTACACCTTAGGAGGCTGTACGCGGAAAACGCTCATAAACCTCTATATCATATAGCTGTTAGTAAATATTTTGCATACATTTAACTAAAAAATTCACTAATGGTGATGAACATATAGTTTGAAAACATTATATTCTTAAACCATGTATCGCCGAAAAAAAACTATTTAACTACAAAATCCGTAAGGACCCTCAGACAAAATTTCACCACAAGATTACATTTAATATTAGCAAAATATAAAAAAGCAATACTTATATTTTCATCTTACATAATTCATTAATCAAACTTTTAACATAAAAGTATCTTTTAAAAATATGTCTGGCAATTGACAGATCCCTACTCTGATCTTTTATTTGTAAAGGAATAAATTTAAACATGTGCTCTTTTGTTTAGGAATATTTTGTAGTGAAAGTCTTAGTTTAAACATAGTTTATTTCAAACAATGATACAAGTACCTCATGTTGTTAATTCATTTACAATAATTAGATACACGAATGAAAAAGGATTAGAGCCGAAAGCTATAGAGCTTATAAAGGTCTTCTCCTAATGAAAGTCTTAATTAATATATCCACTAATCTCATAATTAGAATTAGACAGGTCAGGGATTTATACAACCAGTTGTTTAGTTATCTACGCTCATTTTAATCCAATAGAAACATTCAAATATTTGGGTAAAAAACATGACCAAAGTACCTAGTAGTCGTTTACCCGGTGGTGATTCATTAAACTGATTATAGATTCGAATAGAAAACACAAATAGAAACATGTGTTTCGGTACAACAAAAATCGGAAGTAAAGCGAACAGTTAAATGACAGAAAATATGTGGTCAAATATGTTTTAACAAGGAAATAATTATTTCAGAGAAAGACGCAAAGATCAGTCTTCAATCAAATGAATGACCCTGTATTGTGTAATTAGAAAGTTCAATTCTAGGGCAACGAATCATAATTTGATAGTCCATGTGTAATAAAATTTCCAATACAGATTATGAGATACATAAAAATATTAAAGAATGAGAAGCTTTAAAAACAAAAACAAAAAAAACAAAAAAAAAAAACGCATATATATACGAATGACTTACAGTCGAGCATCGGAAATTCATCAACATATCTTACGAAATTTTAATTTGCTGAAGTGATTAATGTTTGTTTGAATAAATCAAATAAAAAGAACTTATATGTTTGTGTTCTAAAAAATAATTTGCGGCATAAGACGAATTTCGTTTTCATTTAACAACACTTGAAAAATTACTACAGAAAATATGTTGGTTTTTTTTTGTTTTGTTTTCAACAAAAGTGTGTGTGTTTTAAGTTCATTTATTCTCGGCGCCGGAATAACCATATGTCCGAGATTATAGCATCGGGGACGTCTTTTTCAAACAGAATCTTCCTGGTAGCCCATTCTTCGTTTGTTAGTGGTAAAGGAGACGACAGTACTGTCAAGGCATCAACTTCCTGACTGACGACAACAAAAACGGCATTCATTAGCGCCAAACCTCCAGA